GGCTTCTTAGATTTTAGGAACTCTTTGAACTTGGATGGGAGGAAAATTACATCTTCATTTTCACTCACCTCTAAATAAAACGTAGCATTTACTTCTATGAATTAAAAAATATTATTTTGAGAAGGGGTCCATGGCCTTCACTAGCCTGCCATGACACAAAAAAGATTAAGAACCCCAGATTTAGCAGTTAACAAAAAGAGGTTTATGTAATTATAGCAAGGAAGAATATTAAGCAAAGACAAAGGACTGATTCATTTGGGCACAGCTTCCCTGATGCTGTATTTGCCATGACACTGCATGGTCAGAAGCATGTATGCAGGCTGAGAGGAACTCATAATTCCTGGTGTGTGGAGTCTGTACTTAGGCCACCAGAAAGTTATTACGTCAATATTTCTAGCTTTAGTTTACTGGGCTAATTAAGTCTCAAGGTTGCTTTTAATATTTTGTAAGGAAAAACCAGTCTATCTTGAGTGAAGTGGGGCCCTAGGAAAAGATAACTCAACCTATGTGGCCGGGAGCTAAGAGATACAGCTCCTATCACACCATGTGTCTTATATGTATCTGTGAGTATGTTTTGACTATGCCTACATATATGTACATGTTGTCTCCCCTACTATAATGTACATTCCTTGAGGGGAAGGGCTGATTCACTTCTCTCTCTTTTCCTAGGACCTAGCCCTTGCCTGCCAAATAGTACACACTTAATAAATGTTTGTTTGATTAAACTCTCCAGGTTTCAATTTCCTCACCTGTAAAATGAAGGGGGTGAGACTAAAGCTCTACGATTTATAAGGTACTTTTCCTAATTATGATGTCTGTGGTTACATAAGAGTAGAAATTGAAATTTCAGCATGCTTTCTGTTCTTTGATTTGATCATTAGAACATTAGTTATGGTCACGTTTAAAAAGAGCTGTAAAAAATTGTTATTCAGCAAGGTCAAGAATAAGATATTCTGATTAATACAAAGTTACTATTAATGGCATACAGATCAACAATTTTCAAAAAGTTAAAGTAGGAAAATAACGTATTACTGAAAAGTGTAACTTTTTCAGAAGGCTAAAATGCCTCTCAGTGTCTCAGTTACTAACTGAAACATTAATTATCATTACATAAACTGTAACTACAGTAGATGTAGCTATCCTGAGGTTGGTTCAAAAAAACCCCTCAACATTTTATTGGACATTTCTTCTCTCATTAAACAAAAGTGCCAAATATGCTTCTCCCCCCCCAAAAAAAAGGTTGTTTGGGTTCCTTGCCATGCAGACACCCCAAGAAACATTGTAGAATAGAGGAAAGTACAGAATTTGGAGTCAGTGGACCTGGGTGTGAGTCCCTGCTTTGCCATTTACCATCTATGTGACTTGGAGCAGATTACTTAAGAGCTCTGGACCTCATGTTTCCTGACTTGTAAAATGGGTGTGTGTGTGGGGGGACGACTGGGTGGTCTCTAAGATCCCTTCTAGCTCTACATCTTATGATCTGGTGATTCACCTCAGTAAAAGATAAGCTTGGTGGACATGCTTCCAATGTGCTCCAAAAAGTTACCTGAAAAGCCCTAGTACCAGGTATAAACTCTGAAGAGGTTAAAGACAGAAGGAAAGGTCCCATACATACTAAAATAATCACAGCAGCACTTTTTCTGTGGTAGCAAAAAACTGGAAATAGAGTGAGTGCCCATTATCTGGGGAATGGCTGAACAAATTAGGATATGTGAATGCAATGAAAGACTTGCAACGCAAGAGATCATGTACATGAAGAAAAAACTGTTGGGAAGACTGATATGAACTGATACAGAGGGAAGAAGACAGAACCAAGAGAAGAATATGTACAATGACCATAATAATGTGTGTGTGTGTGTGTGTGTGTGTGTGTGAGAGAGAGAGAGAGAGAGAGAGAGAGAGAGAGAGAGAGAGAGAGAGACAGTTGGGAGAAAAGAATGGGGAAGTATTAGGAAATGAAAGTGAAGACAAAAAAACTTGGCAAAACTTTTTTTGGATCGATTCTTCATAAGTTCTTAAAATATAATACTAGAGAACAGTGATACTCAAATTTTTGTGGTCTTTGGAACCCTTCAGTAGGGCAAAAGATGCTTACTCACTACTGTTAAGGGAGAAATGGACCTATGATCTAAATGTCCCAGAGGACACCTAGAAAAGAAAACCCTCTTCACCAGTGGAGGCCAGCACTTCTTTGGTAACTTAGTGCCTCGAGCACTGAAGGGTTAAATGGTTAAGGTCACATAGCCAGTAAACGTCAGAAGTGGGGTTTGAACCCAAGTCTTACTGGCTTTGAGGACAACTCCCTACCTATTATACCACCTAGTCTTTCACCTGCTTCTGTAAAAAATAAAAAATGTCATGTAAATCAATGGAAATAATGAAGCTACTATAATGTTAACATCAATCAGGTAGTGTAAGTTTTAATTAAATAAAACGAGTAAATTATTTACTCAACAGAAATAAAAGCATATACACATTTTATTGGAAACCTTAGTACAGCATGTCGGGCATCTGGGGGAACATCTCAGACATCACAATGCACTGTTCTTTGTGACTGACTTTCTGTTTAGACAAACAACAGGTTTTGACCACTGGCAAAAAATGAAGAAATCTTAAAAAGTTACACTGAAGCTGCTTACAGTTAACTGGTATAAAAAATGAAACCAAAAACATTTCCATATGCCTTGATTGTATTATAAGCAGAATTCTGAGTCTACCACAGCTGACTTTCCCTTTAATCTGGAGGCTCTGACTTTAATGATACAAGAAACACTTTAACTTTTTGTATGTTTTACAGGACGTTTTATTCAGTCAAAAGTAAAGTGTATCATAATCTTGTAGGCAGCCTCAGATGTAATTTAAGCATGGGGAGGATCAACTTGTATACCCACTCCTATTTTCTATAAAACTTGGATTTGTCTCTTTGGTTTCTCTTTATAATCTGCTCTTTGTAACCAGTAAGAAATGCAATGCTACCATGAGTTATTTTTCTTGATACTGGTAAATCATTTTTCTCCCAAAAAAAAAATCATTTTGGAAGACAGCATCATCCAAAATGACAAATGGATGGAGTAAGAAAATACAATGGTCAAAAGGTTGTGCATGTTCCAATGTTTTGGAAAGGTAAACAGGCTTCTCACACTTTCACAAGCTATGTGGTAACTGCACCTTCATCTTTTTTCCTCCTTACAGAGCCCTGGGATTGCAGTGAACAGGCACACTGCAGAGAGCACTGGTCATAACATGTGTAAGCTCTTGAGTGCATCCAATGACATGCTTTGCTGACTGGTCACTAGGTAACATGACACTACACTGGGGAGGGGAGGGAGAGATGCCACAGTGGTTATACATCCATATATTACCAGAGGGTGATGTAAATGCCACAGCCACAATTAGCTTTTAAAGAACACTATGTTAGCAGTGCTTCAAAAGGTTAATAGGAGAAAAGCTTTAATGTGTCTAAGAGCTACTTATAACCACACTGCCTTTCCCCACTGAAGGCTGGAGGATGAACAACTAAAATGGCGAGTGGAATACGAAAAAAGCTGGGTAGAGAGCCTCAAGATCAATACGTTAGACAAAGAGAGTCAAGAAAAGTAGTGGCAGAGTCAGAAAACCTGTATTTGTGCAGAGTAGTGGAAAGAGCACTAGATTGGAAGTCAGGAAGAATCTGAATTGAGATCTTGCCAATGGGCCTCAGTTTCTTCATCTGTATAATGGGGATATGGGATTCTACAATGGCTAAGGCCTCTTCTAGTTTTATTGTCTATGATCATATGACCTCTAAGACCGTCCACCTCTAAATACCATGATTCTAAATATTTAAAGTCATAATATTAACAAAAAAGTTTATCAATTTTTACATTAATAGGGTAAAATGAATTACTTCATCAAATTCTGGAAAACTAGAACTAGGGATTACCACTTGAAGCTTGAGAGGTACATTTAGAGCAAATAAAAGAATATACTGCTTTACATAATAATAAAAATAATTAGCATTTATATATATAGCACTTTACCCAGCAGCTTAGCGGCACAGAGGATAGAGTGCCAGGCCTGGAGTCAGGAAGACTCCTCTCCCTGAGTTCAAATCCGGCCTCAGACACTTAGTAGCTGTGAGACCGTGGGCAAGTCATTTAACCCTGTTTGCCTCAGTTTCCTCATCTATAAAATGAGCTGGAGAAGGAAATGACAAACCATTCCAGTATCTCTGCCAAGAAAACTCCAAATCAGGTCACAAAGAGTCAAACACAACTAAAAATGACTGAATGACAACAATGGCACTTTAAGGTTTGTAAAACATTTTACATAACAACCTTGCCCAGCAGATGCTATTAGTATCACCATTTACAGATGAGGAAACTGAGACTGCAACAGGTTGAGTGATTTGCACAGGGTCACACAGCTACCAAGTAGCTATGGAAGGATTTGAACACAGGTCCTCCGGACTCCAAATCCAGCATTCTATTCTCTAGCCACCTAGCTGCCCCCAAAGCAAAGAATATATTTATGAATCTTGTCATGATAGGAGTTGCTGCAGACTTCAAGTACACAAATATTTTAAAAGAAGAGATTAGATTAGATTAGATTTAGAGCTGGAAAGAGATCTTCAATGCCATCTAGCCCAACCACTTCATTGCACAAATGAAGAACTGAGGCCCAGAGAAGCTGACATGCCTAAGGTCACATTGGGAGGAAGACGTAAAGCTAGGATTTGAACCCAAGTGATACAGAGATCTGCAACAGATCTAAAGAAAGACAGAAGTTTATGTGACAGTTACAATACTTGAGATTGATATCAAGGAGGATAACTATATCCTTTAGTTTTTAGCCTTTAAAAAATTTAAATTTAATATTTTTCCAGTGAAAATCTACTTTTTGTCCCTCCTTCCCTCCCTATTGAGAAAGAAGGAAAAACAACTCCCTCATTGCAAACATGCATAGTCAAGTAAAACAAATTCCTGCACTGGTCATGTCCAAAAAAGAGTCTCGATCTGTAC